AATGTAAGCTTTCATGAGAAGGGCACTCCTAACTCTCTTGCATTGAATTTTATTGTAACTGTACTGTCTGCTTTATATTGTAAAGCGCTGCACAAACTGTTGGCACTATATAAATACTATAAACTAATAAATATTATAATAATGTTTTGCCAAATGCTGACATAAAATACTGTTTTTGAGATATTTCCATACATACTTACATAAAGGTTGTTATAAAATGCAGAGTCAAACGGAAAAACCAACAGGGATATTAATCAAAGGAGAAACAAAGTCTTGGAGGCGTTTTGTTGCTTTACTGTCCCCCACTGAAGGACCATAGCTGAACAAGCGTATTTCTGAATGGAAGTAATCACAGTGAAATCTTATTTAATATGAATTCACAGTGTTAATTCATTACAGGAATGGTATGTACAAAATCTAGCCACAAAGGTGCAACAAAAAAACAAAATCATATTTCCTGAATTAAATAGTTAAGTAACATGTTGCAATTATAAAAAATATATTTAAGTCAATAGAAAAAATATTTATTAAATTTGCTGAATTCTCAGGTCAAGTAGGTGATCAGAACACTTGCCAGTACAGGTAAATCCACTACCCTTTCAGTTATTTCTAGCCTACTCCTATTAATCTGAAGAATCTTCATGATTTTAAACTTACTTTGTGAAGATCCCCACACGTTTACTTCCTAGAATTCTGTGACATGAATTCACTATGCCCTGTGAGTAGGCACGTATGTGTCACACATTTCAAAGAGCTGCCCTCTGAGGTGCTGAGAGGAGGAGTTTCAGGAGGCCAAATCAGTACAAGAATGCTGCTTGTGCACAGCAAGGTACAATGGGATATGTAGTCCTTAGAAACTGAAAGTGACCAGCAGAGAAGCTGCAAAGCATGCTGGGAATCCAGGAAATTGTGGAAAGAGATGCTAGTAGAAAGGCAGCACTCACAACATGAAAGGAGATTTTTCATGTAAGCTTACAGTGCATTGTCAAACATAACTATTGTTGGTATTGCTAGTACAATGCTAGTATTATAAAATGAAAATGTACAGTGCGCTGTGACCATAGATTTTCTTTAAGTAGTTAAGTAACATGTACCAATTATAGGAAATAAATTTCAGCCAGTGGAAAAAAAAACATTTATTTAAAATGCTGCATGCTCAGGTCAAGTAGGTGATCAGCACACTTACCGGCACAGGTAAATCCGTCTCCCCTATAACCACTGGTACAAGTACATGTGTAGGATCCAAGTGTATTGGTGCACATTGCATGCTGGTCACAACTACTGAGTCCTTGAGAACACTCATCCACATCTGGAAGAAACATTGACAATATAATTCTTGCCATCATCTGCACAGCTCACCTACTTGCTGCAGATGAATAGAAAATTCAGTATCCTCTTACCTGTAGTACAGTTGCTGCCAGTCCAGCCTTTCTGGCACATACAAGAGTAAGCATTCACTTTGCTTATACAGACTGCACCATTCTTACAAGGGGAACTTGCACACTCATCAATTTCTATAAAGATATACAAAGAAATGTCATTCTGAACAACATGATTGCCTAGATTGCATTGAAAACAACAGAAACCATAACCATATGGTGGAATTACCCTAATCACATGCCCAGAATGTCTTGCTAATAATACCTATTTTAAATAAAATTATATCTAAGAATTCAAATGACTTATTTACACCAGAATTGCCTTCTTGTGTTTACTGAACAAAGGGATTTATTGAGCAATAAATTAAATAAATAGCACATATGTTCTGATACACTCACCAATTTCACATAACTGTCCTCTGTATCCCATAGGACATGAGCAGGAAAATGAATTCAGAGAACTTATACAAGTTGCACCATTCCAACAAGGCTTGCTGAGACACAAGTTTATAACTGTCAGGAAAAACAGACATTTCATACATTTTGTGTATTACAAAATTGTTTAAAATTTGATGAACACGTATGCAAACAATTTGATCACACATGTGTAATTTTCCAATGTAATTTTTTTACAATTGAATAGATACAAAGGAGTTTCAAGTTTCCATAGCTTATGTTGATGTGGTCAGTGTTCAATTTATATAAACTGGGAAATTATCTAAAGTAACTTAGCCAACTGCTGTAGTTTAGTGTACTATAAGGTCCGAAAGTTTAGTTTTGGACTTACTTGACCAAATAACCTACATACATAGTTACATGGTTTATAAGGTTGGAAAAGCGCAGGTCTGTTCTGTTCAACCTATGTGTGTGTGTTTTTTTATTCCCTAAAAATTCCCATATCCCTGTATATTCTGTTCTTAAAGTGTTACTAAACCTAGGACCCTGCATTCACTCTATCTGGTCTCCCACAGTACACACAACATGGAAGTGCAATTATTTTAGTAAATATAAACTGCTAAATACTTTTTCTCATCAGCAGTTAGAGCAGCCTTGTGATTTCTATCTGTGTCCCGCCGAGCACTAGCTAAAGCTTGTAGGATGAGTTTTCTTTCTACTCTAGGAGGATGCAAAACGCCTGACCTCTGTCTGGACAGTGCTGATTGGCCCTGTGCTGATCACATGCACTCTCCCAAGAAAAAAAAACCTCTCTAACAATATTATTAATATTTTATTATACAGGATTTATATAGCACCAACACTTTGCGCAGAGCTTTACAAAATAAATATACACCAAACTGAGCATGTGCATGCCTGCGGTTCAGTGGTGGTCACTTGAAAAAGGGGGGGAACAGAGAAGAAAGGATCCAACAGCCTTTTTACACAATGCAGAGGATTAACCCCTTAGGTCCCACAGTGAGTATAACAAGCATGTTTTACTGCATATACAGACTGATTTTACTGTTGTGGGTTTAGTAACACTTTAAAGAAGACTTCTAAACATTTTATGGAGTTGCTGACAATCTCCTCCCAGCTAGTAACACTTCTCACAATTTAAGGTTAAGCCTCCATTCTTTTTAACCTCAAATTGTGGCCATGTGCCCTCTTCAGAAATGTAAAACTGGTCATAGATGACTCAAAACCTCTTCAGCAGGAGCCAGACGAGATTCAACTATGGGCAGGCTGATTGTCCACAAATCGATTGTTGTACAACTTGGGTACAATCAGTCTGATTTTGCATGCGCCTATTACCAGTGGCTATAGCCACAAGCAATAATCACTGTATTCTCCCAGCAGGGACAGCTTCACTGAACTCAATGAAAGTAAAATGAGTGTACTGAATTATATCATAAGGTAGATTCAGATACTAATTTATAGTCCTGACAAATGTATTTTTTAAAATACAAAAATAATATGTAATTGTTGCACTGAATCCCACACTCACATTCACAACTTTTGCCGGTTTCTCTATATCCTGTCTTGCAGGTACATGTGTAAGAACCTCCGGTGTTAGTGCATACAGCATTGGGGTCACATTTTGCAGTTCCCAGGGAGCATTCACCAACATCTGAAAAGCAAACACAGTTTAGCTATATACAGTATAGCCATAGGGAACATCCAGTATATTAATAATGCAGAACTGCAATAAAAAATGTAAATATATTGGCTCCAAAATTCAAAGAAGATTTCAGAATGATTTAACTACCTAAAAAAAACTCACTAGGCTCCATGGAATTCACAGCATAAAACTTGAATGGGAAAATGTGTTGCAGGTACAACCAATTATATTCCAGGGGCCACTTTTTTGTTGCAGGCAGGGGCGTATTTACTGCAAGGCAAACAAAGCGTTTGCCTTGGGCGGACACAGTGGCAGGTGCACGGGATCCGAAAAAAGGCTGTGCATTGTGTATAGCTCAGTCAGACTGCTTATGTGTGTGGTGAGGAGCCCACTCAGACATACTTGTCCTTGTGTGCACACTGGCCTCTGTACAGACACATCCCTCATATAGCACCATCAGACAGGAGACCACATGCAGCACTATGGACAAGGCTCTTCCCCTCTGCACTTGGCTCCTCCCTCTGGAGTATGTAGTGTGCCCGGGGTCTGGAAATGTCCCCCATCATGTCCCCCTCTCTGGAGCCCTACACCATGTAAGTGTCCCTGGAAAGGGGAGTCTGTCTCACTCAGTGTTCCTGTAACTCAACCTCATTCTTATCATACAACTTCCATCCGATTACAAACACTTCCCTCTGCACACACAACAAACAGCACAGCCTGGGGAACTACCATCGATCCTGGGGGGGAATATAGAGTCTGGATGGTCGGTGTGATTGATTTGATGGTTCAGATTATAATTGGTTTTGTATAGTAGGTGTGGTCAGTCTCCACTCCACAACAGGAATGTGGCAGGCTGCATTTTTTTGCAATGCAACCCGCACAAATGTGTGAAAACTCAAAGCTTGTAGTCTTTGAAAAAAAAATTGCAAATAAAATATGAAAAGAAGAAAAACATAGCTGAACACATGCAAAAAATGCAATGCAGCACATTGCAAAACACATGCAAACATGATGGCATTTTCCATTGCACTCGTGAACGGGTCCTCAGAAGCCAGTCATTCACAAGCGGGAATCTACCAGAAAAAATGTTTGTGTATACCTCATGTGCAAACAGCCATGAAAAGATCTTTACCGTCCAATGCTGAAAGGCTGCAGGTAAAGGAAACAATGGGTGCTTTGGTTGCTTCATTCTATGGCATGTCTATAATTAGAGTTGAGCGAATTATTCAAAAATTCAGTTCGGCTGATTCGCCGAATTCGCCGCATAAAATTCGCTTCGAGCCGAATATATTCGCTGCGTGATTTAACTTATAAAAGGGTGTTTCTAGGCTTCAGAGAGCCTTTATATTAGTGCAGAACACTGTACCTTTAATTTAAATGCCCTTGGAGTCTGCTGGGGAAGAGAAAATAATACTGTCAGTCAGTATAACATGCAGATGAGTGCCGTCGATCTTAGAATCACCGCACACTTCACTCATTTGGGCAGTCACGGGGCCAAAACCAGAGTGTGGAGCCACAGTGTGGCGGTGGAGGCAGCAGCAATGGGAGGCCATACAGCACCCTATGACAAAAAATGGAACCCACCAGCAGTGTGAGGAGACCTGAAAGTGGCACATGGCAGAGTGTGGCGATGGAGACAGCAGCAATGGGAGGCCGTACAGGGACCCATGACACACTCTGGACCTGGCAGCAGCATGAGGAGGCGGTACAGGGGCCCATGACAGATTACGGGCCTGGCAGCAGCATGAGGAGTCGGTAACGGGGGCCCATGGCAGATTTATGATATAGGGCCTGGCAGCAGCATAAGGAGGCGGTACAGGGGCCCATGGCAGAGTGGCGGAGCGTAAGCAGCTAAAATTGAAGGCCATAATAATAACGAACTCTACTCCTCCGTGCAATTCTACTTACGAGACCCTGGGCAGGTCTGGGTCCAATTTGTGGTAGAGACTGGTTTTGTTTCAGCCATGCTTGAGCGAGTAATAACAGGTCTGTGCTGCCCTTTGGTGTCTGGCTTAATGCGCACAACACTGAACGTCCCAGCGTTTGTCAACGATTTGCCGTTAAGTGATGCAAACCCGCTGAACCACGTTCATGAGGAGAGCCGGTACAGGGGGCCATGAATCAGTATGGACCTGGCAGCAGCGTGAGCAGAGACGACAGAGGCACATGGCGCAGGGTGGCGGTGGACGGCAGCATTATTCTGAAACCATACACAGGCCTAGGTTAAAAAGCGGAAGCCGTCAGCAGCGTGAGCAGACGACAGAGACACATGGCGCAGGGTGGCGGTGGATGCAGCAGTATTCGGAAGCCAAACACAGGCCTCGGTTAAAAAGCGGAAGCCGTCAGCAGCGTGAGCAGACGACAGAGGCACATGGCGCAGGGGTGGCGGTGGAGGCAGCAGCAATGGAAGGCCATACAGCACCCTATCACAAAATGGAAACCCACCAACAGTGTAAGGAGACCTGAAAGTGGCACATGGCAGAGTCTGGCGATGAAGTCAGCAGCAATGGGAGGCCGTACAGGGACCCATGACACACTCTGGACCTGGCAGCAGCAAGAGGAGGCGGTACAGGGGCCCATGGCAGAGTGGCGAAGCGTAAGCAGCTTCAATTGAAGGCCATACAGAGGCCTATGTTAAAAAGTCCCCCCAGCAGCAGTGTGGGGAGACGACTATCAAGAGTCCAATGGCAGAGTGGCGGAGCAGAAGCAGCTTCAATTGAAGGCCATACACAGGCCTAGGTTAAAAAGTCCCCCCAGCAGCAGCGTGGGGAGACGACTATCAAGAGTCCCACCATGGCAGAGTGGCGGAGCGGAAGCAGCTTCAATTGAAGGCCATACACAGGCCTAGGTTAAAAAGTCCCCCCAGCAGCAGTGTGGGGAGATGACTATCAAGAGTCCAATGGCTGAGTGCCGATCCGGGAAAGTCAGCGTTGTGATTGCAGATGCAATGCAGAAATTCTACGAAGTAATGCCGTGGGTGCGAAGAAGATCATATACCGTCGTACTTCCATCCATAAGACGGAACAACCTGCGAACCGGGAGCTTTATTGCCCTGACCCGCTGAGCAGCTTCTGGGATACCCAAGAGGCCCATGGCAGAGTGGCGGAGCGTAAGCAGCTTCAATTAAAGGCCATACAGAGGCCTATGTTAAAAAGTCCCCCAGCAGCAGCGTGGGGAGACGACTATCAAGAGTCCAAATGGCAGAGTGGCGGAGCGGAATTGAAGGCCATACACAGGCCTAGGTTAAAAAGTCCCCCAGCAGCAGTGTGGGGAGACGACTATCAAGAGTCCAATGGCTGAGTGGCGATCCGGGAAGTCAGCGTTGTGATTGCAGATGCAATGCAGAGATTCTATGAGGTGATGCCGTGGGTGCGAAGAAGATCATATACCGTCGTACTTTCATCCATAAGACGGAACAACCTGCGAACCGGGAGCTTTATTGCCCTGACCCGCTGAGCAGCTTCTGGGATACCCAAGAGGCCCATGGCAGAGTGGCGGAGCGTAAGCAGCTTCAATTAAAGGCCATACAGAGGCCTATGTTAAAAAGTCCCCCCAGCAGCAGCGTGGGGAGACGACTATCAAGAGTCCAATGGCAGAGTGGCGGAGCGGAAGCAGCTTCAATTGAAGGCCATACACAGGCCTAGGTTAAAAAGTCCCCCCAGCAGCAGTGTGGGGAGACGACTATCAAGAGTCCAATGGCTGAGTGGCGATCCGTGAAGTCAGCGTTGTGATTGCAGATGCAATGCAGAGATTCTATGAGGTGATGCCGTGGGGTGCGAAGAAGATCACATACCGTCGTACTTCCATCCATAAGACGGAAAACCTGCGAACGGGAGCTTTATTGCCCTGACCCGCTGAGCAGCTTCTGGGATACCCAAGAGGCCCATGGCAGAGTGGCGGAGCGTAAGCAGCTTCAATTAAAGGCCATACAGAGGCCTATGTTAAAAAGTCCCCCAGCAGCAGCGTGGGGAGACGACTATCAAGAGTCCAATGGCAGAGTGGCGGAGCGGAAGCAGCTTCAATTGAAGGCCATACACAGGCCTAGGTTAAAAAGTCCCCCCAGCAGCAGTGTGGGGAGACGACTATCAAGAGTCCAATGGCTGAGTGGCGATCCGGGAAAGTCAGCGTTGTGATTGCAGATTCAATGCAGAAATTTTATGAGGTAATGCCGTGGGTGCGAAGAAGATCATATACCGTCGTACTTCCATCCATAAGACGGAACAACCTGCGAACCGGGAGCTTTATTGCCCTGACCCGCTGAGCAGCTTCTGGGATACCCAAGAGTTTGGCTTCTGTGGGGAATATGTTGAAAACTGAAACTTAAAGGCATGTTGACGGAAGGGCACCAGTGTCAGTGCTCCGGAGGGAATATAGCTTCAAAGCTGACACTTAAAGGTATATCGACGGTCAGAGACCACAGGAAGTGGAGCTTGCGTCTTAAATCGACTGAATGTGGCAGACGTGAAACGTCTACGGGCCGTATATGAAACGGGTTGTTCCTCTTTCTGGAATAAGTGTTGGAAATGGCCACTCTTTTTGGTGTGGCGTTTTGTCTATTTAATTCCGATAACGGACTCTACTCCTCCGTGCAATCTAGTTACGAGACCCTGGGCAGGTCTGGGTCCAATTTGTGGTAGAGACTGGTTTTGTTCAGCCATGCTTGAGCGAGTAATAACAGGTCTGTGCTGCCCTTTGGTGTCTGGCTTAATGCGCACAACACTGAACGTCCCAGCATTTGTCAACGATTTGCCGTTAAGTGATGCAAACCCGCTGAACCACGTTCATGAGGAGCCGGTACAGGGGGCCATGAATCAGTATGGACCTGGGCAGCAGTGTGAGGAGACCCGAAAGTGGCACATGGGCGCAGGGTGGCGGTGGAGGCAGCAGTATTCGGAAGACATACACAGGACTAGTTTAAAAAGCGGAAGCTGTCAGCAGCGTGAGCAGACGACAGAGGCACACATGGCGCAGGGTGGCGGTGGAGGCAGCAGTATTCGGAAGCCATACACAGGCCTAGGTTAAAAAGCGGAAGCCATCAGCAGCGTGAGCAGACGACAGAGGCACATGGCGCAGGGTGGCGGTGGAGGCAGCAGTATTCGGAAGCCATACACAGGCATAGGTTTTAAAACTGGAACCCAGCAGCGTGAGCAGACGACAAAGACGCACATGGCAGAGGATGGATCTGGCAGCAGTATGAGAGGGCGGTACAGGGGCCCGTGGCACAGTGTGGTGATGGGGGCTACAGCAACTGGATGCCAGAAAGTGGCCGATAGGGCTATATACTGCATGGAATTAAAAAGTTGTAAAGACAGCGGCCTTTTTGTCCCTAATAACATGTTTGGGGCATGATTCATGGCGGATTTAGTCAGTTGTGTCAGGAAACTGGTGGTTGGAAATCCAGACTAATCCACGCCTGATTCATTTTCACAAACGTGAGTCTCTCCACACTTTGGGTGGACAGTCGTGTCCTCCGCGGAGTTACAATACCTCCTGCCGCACTAAACACGCGCTCCGATGCCACGCTACTGGCCGGGCATGACAGCCTTTCAAGGGCAAATTCAGCTAGTTGGGGCCAAAGGTCAAGTTTCGTTGCCCAGTAGTCAAGGGGATTGTCTACCTCGGTTGGCAGGGTGCTGTCCAAGTAGCCCAAGCCTGTTGTTTGAGGTCCTGCTCCAGGTCACCTGATGCTGCTGCTGCTGTGGCTGGTTAGTAGTTTCCTCACTGCGCTGGTGAAGAAAGCTACTCATCATCGACTGCAGACTGAGGCAGCCGCTGCTGGTGGAGCTGCCACTGCTCCTACCACCCCACCCCTCCCTGCTGCCCATGGTAGCGGAACGCGAGCGCACAGGGCCCACAGTGTCTGAGGATGGACGTTGGCGCAGAAAGGCAGAGACCAACTGACTACATAGGTGGTTTTTATAGTACTTTATTTTGGCCTCCCTCTCAGCAGGTGTGAAAAAGGCCACCATTTTTGAACGGTAGCGAGGGTCCAACAAGGTGGACAGCCAAAAGTCATCCCTTTGTCTGATGGTTATTATTCGGCTGTCGCTACGCAAGCAACGAGCATGCTATGGGCCATTTGTGCCAAGGAATGCGAGGGACTCCCTGCCTCCATCTCCACAGCATACTGCCACGGTGCGTCTGGGTCCTCTGTCTCCTCCTCCTCCTCTCCCAGATGCTCCTGCTCCTCCACTCTGTCCGCTGAGTGGAAAAACCACCCCATTTCACTCAATAATTCCTGAGCCACCAATGTCCTCCTCTACCTCCTCCTCTTCTTCCTGTCCTGCCCCCACAGGGGTCATGTGGCATTGAGATCTGTGCGCTGCAGCTCAAGGAGGGGTGTGCTTTGCGGTGTAGGAATGGCTGAAATGCATGCAAAGTTTCCGTGACATTTTAAGAATGTCTTGCAGTGGGATGGTGGATTTTAGGAACCGCTTGACAACCAGATTGAACACCGTGAGCCATGCATGGCGCATGGCACAACCTTCCTTGACGCAGAGCAGACACCATGTTCTTTCCGTTGTCGGTCAACATGGTTCCGATTTCCAGTTTGCGCGGAGACAGCCATCTGTCGATTTCTCTGTTCATTACACTCAGAAGTTCCTCCCCTGTGTGACTACGTTTGCCAAGGCATACCAGGTGCAGCACAGCATGACACCGTTGCGCCCTGCACATGTGATATGCTGGTCGGGTAATGGGACTTGGCACGGGGGGGGCGGCTGAGGACACGGCGGAAGAAGAGGTGGTAGAGGCGGACATCTTTGCTGGACCAAGGACGTGCAAACATGGAGGCAAAAGCGGCGTGACCTGTCCAAGTTGCTGGTGCGGCTGTACCGGCACCACGTTCACCAGTGGGCCGTAAATGACATGTACTGTCCCTGACCGTAGTTACAGCTCCACACGTCGGCGCTGCCGTGCACTTTGGCAGAGACCGACATGCTCAAAGACTGGCCCACCATCTCTTCTACATGTGAATGCAGGGCTGGCACTGCCTTTTTGGCGAAGAAATGCCGGCTTGGCACTCTCCACCGCGGCTCGGCACAAGCCATCATTTCTCGGAAAGGTGCTGAGTCCACCACTTGGAAAGGGGAGGGACTGCAGCACCAGCAACTTGGACAGGAGGACGTTCAGCTTCTGCACCGTCGGGTGCGTGCTCGCAAACTGTTGTCTCTTGGAAACGGATTCCAAGAAAGACTGCTGACGGAATCCGTGAAGAGGAGTAGCAGGAGAAGGAGCATCTGAACGAGCGGAAGATGCCAACGAGCGACAACTCCCCTCTCAGCAGAGGTGTTGGAGCCTTGACTGGCTGATAGAGGGCGATTGACGTCGGGTGACGGAGCAAGTAACGGAGCGGGTGATGGAGCGGGGGCTGGGGCAGGCAGAAACCCGCCGTATCTTTTATCACGGTTTTCCCAGGCCACCGAATGGCGACACTGCATATGCTGACGCAACGCTGTAGTCCCAAGATTGGCCCCCCTGGCCACGCTTGACTTTCTGGCCACATAGTCGACATACGGCTACGTTTACTTCCTCGGGCGGTTTTGACGAAAAAATTGCCA